CTTGGAACAGAAAGAAGGTATTCAGTGACTTAGTTTTTTTTCCCTACCACCCCACTTTCCTTTAGGAATGGTTCACAATTTACACCAAGTTCAAGTGTATAGTTTGGTGGTTTCAGTATATTCACACCATTATGTAGCCATCCATCACCATCCATCTCCAGAACTTTTTCATTTGCAAAACTGAAAGTCTCTACCCATTTGTGTTAGTCAGCTTTTTATCCCTGTGTCAAAAACACCTGATGATAACACCTTAGAGGAATAAGTTTATTTGGTTTCAGAGGTTCAGTCCATGGTCAACCAACTCCCTTGCTCTGGGTCTGAGATAAGGCAGAACATCATGGCAGGAGGGCAGGGCTGAGGAAAGCTGCTCAGCTCCTGGGAGTGTGGACAAGATACATAATCCCCAAGAGCACACCCCCAGTAATCTACTTCCTACAGTCATGCTCTACCTGCTCTCAGTTACCACCCAGTAATCCATTCAAATCATTAATCCACCAAATAGATGGATCCACTGATTAGGTTACATCTCTTATAATCTGATCATTTCACCTCTGATTATTCCTTCATTGTCTTACACATGAGTTTCTGGGGGACACCTCATATCCAAACCATAACACCATTCAACAACAACTCCATTCTTCCCTCTGTCTTGCCCCTGGCAACTACCGTCCTTTCTGTCTCTGTGAATTTGACTACTCCAAGTTCCCCCATGTAAGTGGAATTGTACAGCGTTGTCTTTCTGTGACTGGCTTATTTTATTCAGCATAATGTTTCCATGGTTCATTCATGTAGCAGCATGTTATTTCTTTTTATGGTTAAATAATGTATCATTGTATGGCTAATGTGATTATTGCTTATCCATTTACCAGTGGATGGATACATGTGTTGCTTACATCTTTTGACTATTGTGAAGAGAGCTACTCTGAACTTAAGTATATGAATCTCTTTTTTTTAGCTGAGTTCTGGAAAAAATTATCATTTTTGTCCTGTAAGTCACAGATGCAATTTCCTGTTATTACCAACTGGCTCTTCACATCTCCATTGTGTTTCAAAATTGTCCTTCACTAGCTGGACATGGCAGTGCATGCCTATAATCCCAGCTCTTTGGGATGTTGAGGCAGGAAGTTTGCAAGACCAAGGCCAGCCTTAGCAACTCGACAGGACCCTGTCTCAAGATATAAATAAACAAACAAACAAACAAACAAACAAACAAACAAATAAATAGGGCTAGGGACATAGCTTAGTGGTAAAGCATCCCTGGGTTCAATCCCCAGTGCCCCTGCGCCCCCCTGCAAATGTCAATCACCATACTAGTACTCTGAACTTATTTTTCTCTTGTCGATTGTTCTTTTTTTTGAGACTTCCTGCTCTTGTTTTATAGAAGTACGATTAATTCATGTACCATATAAACTATAGATTTAGAAAACTCTTTCCTGTTAACTACCATTGAGTCTATCTTGTTTATTTTTTTAATTGTCACATAGCAATTGCACTTATTTATGGGTACAGTGTGACATCTCAGTACATGTATCCAATGTGTAATGATCAGATTGGGGTAATTAGCATTTCCATTGTTTCAAACATTTATCATTTCTTTGTGTTGGGAAATTCAAAATCACCTTTTACAGCTATTTTGAAATATACAGCAAATTGTTCTATACCTTACAGGGCTGTAGAACAGTAGAATTTATTTTTCCAATCTAACTGTATTTTGGTATCTCTTATCTGTCCCCTCTCTATGCCACCTCCTCCTGTTAGGTCTATGTTAAGATCATTTCTTGCAGGTAAATGGATAGAACTAGAGAATATCATGCTAAGTGAAATAAGCCAATCCCCCAAAATCAAAGGCCGAGTGTTTTCTCTGATAAGCGGACGGGGAGGCAGGGAGGATAGAGAAGGATGAAGGAATTTTGGATTATGTAAAGGGGTGTGAGTGGAGGGGTGGGGTGTTGGAGATGGGAAGGACAGTAGAATGAGATGGCCCTTATTACCCTATATACACGTATGGTTACAAGACTGGTGTGACTCTGCACCATGTACAGCCAGGGGGAAGGAGACCTTGTGCTTCATTTGTGTACAATGTGTCAAAATGCATCCCGCTGCCATGTATAACTAAGTAGAACATATTGAACAAAGTAGGAAGGAGACCAGTAGAATAGAAGAGGAACAGTGGGAAGGAGGAGAGGGAAATGGGAGGAACTGGGGAATGAAACTGATCAAATTATACTGTTTTATTGTGTTAATGTATGAATTTATTATAACAAATAAAAAAGTCTTGGGGCTGGGGTTGTGGCTCAGTGGTAGAGCGCTCGCCTCGCACGTGAGAGACACTGGGTTCGATCCTCAGCACCACATAAAAATAAATAAACAAAATAAAGATATTGTGTCCATGTATAACTAAAAAAAAATTTAAAAAAATTAAAAAAGTCTTTACCTGCCAAAAAAAAGAGATCATTTCTGCTATTTCCATTTTTTTTTAAACTGTGAATCCTTTCCCCCACTTCTTCCTTCCTCCCTCCCTCCCCCTGCCTCCCCTACTCCCTCCCTTCCTTTTTACTTTCCTTCCTTCCTTCCTTTTGTACTGGAAATTGAATCCAGAGTGCTCTACCACTGAGCTGTATCCATTGCCCTTTTTATTTTTTACTTTGAGACTGGGCCTTGCTGAGTTGCTGAGATTCGTCTTCAACTTGTGCTTGTCCTGCCTCAACCTCTCAAATTGCTGGGATTATAGGGCTGGCCATGATGCCAGGCGTATGTCCACTTGCATTTTTTGTCCATTATTTAGACTGTTTGGGCTGCCATAAGAGAACACCACAGACTGGGTGACTTAAACCAAGAGAAATTTATTTATTTTGACTGCTCTGGAGATAGATTTCCAAGATCAAGTTGTTGGCAGCTGGCTGTCTGGTGAGGGCTCTCTTCCTGACTTGGATACAGTCCCCTTCTGTTAGTGTCCTCACATGGCTTTTTTTCCCTCTGTGTTTTTGTAGTGTTTTTTCTTCTTCTTATAAGGACACCACTTCTATTGGACCAGTGTCCCATCATAATGACCTTATTTAACTGAAATTATCTCTCCAAAGGCTCCATCTTCCAATATAGTCATTAAGCCTAGCACATAAGCCACTGGAAATGTTCCAGATCTAAACTAAAATACCTCCCACCTGAAGCAAGGCACTTAACCTCCCTGAGGCTCCATTAACCTGCCCTGTGAATTGGGACTAATAACAAATGTGTCCGTCTCACGGGGGCGTTGTGCAGGGTGAATGAGTTAACACTTATAGATAACTTAGAGCAGTGGTTGTGCGTGGAGACAAATGTTTGTGTTCCTGGGTTTGATACAGTGCTGGGCCACCGGAGGCACTTACTGAGGTTGAATTCCTCCTGCCCCAAAGAGAGTGCTCTCTGTCATGCTCCTTCCTCTGACTTCTGTGGTTTCCACATCTTTAACTTCACTAATCCTGGAGAGTGAGTGGGTCAGGACAGGGCTGGTGAGCCTGGGGCCTGGGGCTTGAATGCCAGGGTCACTGGCTGGATTGGGCAAGAGCAGGGAAGGGTACTTGACCTGGTCAGGGATATTTGGAGACACCAACAGTTCTGGGAAATTCAGAAGTAGGAAGTGAAAAGAGGAGGGACAAAGGGGGAACTGCCATTGTGCCCCTGTTTCTACAGGTCTGGTTCCCCCTCCCAAATGGTGCAATGGGGTGACTGGAATGTGAAGGTGGGAGGTTGGACCAGGAGACCCTCTTCTCTGGGTAGGAGAACAGAGATGGTTGTGTCCCTCTGCCCCCCACCACTCTTTGTCTGAGTTCCAACTGTTTCCTCTTCTATTTACTGTCCAAAGTCCCAGGGGAGGAGACGCCAGGTTAGAATCTTTTGGACACTCAGACACACACAGGGCTCAAGGCCCTTGCCTGGGCCAGGCCCCTCCTCCCCTTTCATCTAGAACCGCTTGCTCTAGTTCTCCTTGCTTTAACCCCTCTTTCTCCCTGGGGCCTGGGCTGCCTGCAGGAGCCAGTTAGTTCTCCATTCTTTCAACAGGTAACCAAGGTGGGGGAGGCAAGTGGGGCTGGGCTGTTTGGGATTAAGGAGACCCTGGTTCAGGAACAATGGGAGCTGATGGGAAGATGTAGGGTGACTTGGTCCTTGAGAATATGGAGGAAAGGTTCATGGCCATGTCAAGGGCCAAGCGGTCCCCTGAGAATGGGGACAGGATCCTGCAGTATTTCAAACCTTTGCCCCTGACTCGTCTCTAACCTCTGACCCAACCCAAGCTATCAGCTTGACCTATTCAGGCCCTATTTCAATTACCACCATCAGCCTCTACACAAATTGGTATCTTAGCCCCATCCTGGCCCCAGCTCTAACCCATAATAGCAGCCTCAACTCCAGGTCCAGCTCCAGCACCAGCCCTGGGCACATCATGGAGAAGGAATTTCAAGACATCCAGCAGCTGGACTCTGAAGAAAATGACCATGAGCTCAGTGGCAGTGAGGGGCCAGGCACTCAAGGGCAGAATCCCAGGAGAGAAAATCCATTTTGGAAAGGCAAGTGTTCAGTTTCTGGGGCTTCACCTGCATCCCATTTCAGCTGCCAATTATTCTCTGTCTCCATGAGGTCTCTGTCACATTTGCTCCAGGGACTGAGTTAGTCCCTCTAGGTATGAGCTGCTGGTACCTCTGTTTGCAGAAGGCCATAGGCAAGGGTATGTGCCCAGAGGTGTGGGGATCCCTGGAGATGGCTCCCTCCCTCCCCTCTCACCCAAGCAGATGGGTGCTGTGCGCATGCGTGTGTGTGTGTGTGTGTGTGTACAAGTAATGCAGAGCCCAGCAGAACTGTGTGGGTGGGGGTGGGGTGAGTTGGGGTGGATTGAGAAACCAGCATGAAGAGATCCTGGGAGATTCCTGCTACCTGCAGGCCTACTGCCTGGATCCTCCGCTAGCAAAAAAAAAAATTTTTTTAAAATATATTTTTAGTTGTCAATGGACCTTTATTTTACTTATTTGTATGCAGTGCTTAGAATCGAACCCAGTGCCTCACACATGCTAGGCAAGTACTCTACTACTGAGCTACAATCCCCATCCTCCTTTAGCAAATTTTGAACACAGATGCCAAGCGATTGAGAAGATGTTTTAAAGCAAGAGAGATTTCAGGGGTTCTACGCAAAAAGGCAGGATCCAGGGACAGAGGAAAATGTCATGTGTGAATTCTGGTGATGAAGCTGGGTTCTGTGGAGACAAGAGGGGTTGGGACTCAAAGCTCAGGGAGAAGATTGGCCAGCCTGGACTGGGAGGAGACCCTACATTGTTGGTGCTGGGCAGGGCAGAAGTGGGCAGAAGAGGTAGGTGTCCCACCCATGCCTTCTCTTTCCCCTGGACCTGTGTTGGCTGGCCTTTCCACTGGGTGGTAGACTCCATGGGGACAGAGTTCCAGGGCCCACACAATGCCTGGGGTAAGAGGACATGCAACAACAACTTCGGGGATTGTTGAATCTTCTGAGAGGGAGAGGATTCAGAGTTTGAGCAGGAGGCTTGGAGAAAGTCCAGAGAGGGAGCTCGTCCAAACAGACCAAGGGACAATGAGGAGGGGGAAGTGAAGGTGGCGCAGCCCCTGCTGCCTGGGAGAGGGTTCCTCACCAGAGGTCATGTTTTACTGTTGACAACTTCCCACTCTTCCTGGCAGTTTTCATGTGTACAGTTTTCAACACATTTGAAAATTTACAATTTCTTTTTTTATTATACTGGGGATTGAACCTTGTCTCAAAATAAAAATATAGGGCTAGGGTTATAGCTCAGCGATAGAGAACTTGCCTGGCAGGTGTGAGGCACTGGTTTTAGTCCTTAGTATCACATAAAAATAAATTAATTAAATAAAGGTATTGGGTCCATCTACAACTAAAAATATTAAAAAAAAGATATATATAAAAGGGCTGGAATGTGGTTCAGTGATTAAGTGCCCTGGGTTCAATCTCTGGTACAACTCCCACCCTAACAAAACAAAATAAAACCAAATTAGAGGTGCACGCCTGTAATCCCAGTGGCTTGGGAGACTGAGGCAGGAGGATCTAGAGTTCAAAACAGGCCTCAGCAATGGCGAGATGCTAAGCAACTCAGTGAGATCCTGTCTCTAAGTAAAATACAAAATAGAGTTGGGGATGTGGCTCAGTGTTTGAGTGCCCCTGAATTCAATCCCTGGTACCCCGCTTCAAACAAAACAAAACAAAACAAATATAAACTGAGTAATTTAAAGTGAAGAGATTTATTGGCTTATGGTTCTGGAGGCTAGAAAGTCCAAGATTGAGGGGCTGCACCTGATGAGGGGCCTTCTTATTGCCTTATCCTATGGTGGAAGGGCAAAGGGAGGGTGAGAGAGAGAGAGAGAGAGAGAGAGAGAGAGAGCGAGAGCGCAGGAGAGAAGCTTTAATAAAGAATCTGGTTCTACAATAATGGCATCAATCTATTTCCCATTAGGTTCCATCTCACAACACTCCTGCATTGAGGATCAAGTTTCCATCACTGGGGGGTGGGGCATATTCTTTTTTGTATTAACGAAAATAACTTTTTATTGATTAATTCAATGAAACATCTTACAATTGGCAGCATTTTTGCTGGCATCTGTATCTCCAATAACATCACTCCCATGACCATCCCACTTATAACTATTTCACCTACTTAAAATGAACAGTTCTAGTAGTTAATACTATAGGTTTTACCATTTCAATAGAACTCCACCTGCTGACCTTTAAGCTTTTTTTTTTTAATTTGTTCTACTTAGTTGTACATGACAACAGAATTCATTTAAATTCATTGTACACAAACGGAGTGCAACATTTCAATTCTCTGGTTGTACACGGTGTAGAGATGCACCATTCGTGCAATCATACATGTACCTGGGGCTAATGATGTCCATCTCATTCCACTGGCTTTCGTACCCGCTAACCCCTCTCCACCCTCCCCTTTGCCCAATCCAAAGTTCCTCTATTCTTCCCATGCTTCCCATGCATAGATTATCATCCACTGATCAGAGAAAACATTCGGCTTTTAGTTTTTTGGGATTGGCTTACTTTACTTAGCATAATATTCTCCAACTCCATCCATTTACCTGCAAATACCTTAATCTATCTCTCTCTCTCTCTCTCCCCCCCCCCACCCCCATACCAGAGATTGAACTCAGGGGCACTTGACTGCTGAGCCACATCCCCAGCCCTGTTTTTGTATTTTATTTAGAAACGGGTCTCACTGAGTTACTTAATGCCTCGCTTTTTGCTGAGGCTTTGAACTCATGATCCTCCTGTTTCTGCCTCCTGAGCCGCTGGGATTACAGGTGTGCGTCATTGTGCCCAACTTTTTATTATCTTTTAATGCTGAGTAATATTCCATTGTGTACATATACCACAGTTTCTTTATCCATTCATCTATTGATGGGCATCTAGGTTGCTTCCACAGTTTACTATTGTGAATTCAGCTGCTATAAACATTGGTGCAGCTATGTTACCATAGTATGCTGATTTTAAGTCATATGGTGGTTCCATTCCAAGTTGTCTGAGGAATCTCCACAATACTTTCCAAAGTGGTTGCACCAATTTGCAGTCCCACCAGCAATGTATGAGTGTATCTTTTTCTTGGGGGGAACACATTCTAACCATAGCAGAAGAGAAAGCAAAAGCATCAGGGAGGATGTGGGGGGAGGTAAGAGGCAGGAGAGGTTTTGCTGAGGGGATGTGGGCAGTAGAGGCCTCAAAGGCATAGCTTCTCCTGGCCAAGATGGCTCTGAGTGTGCTGCAGTGGAGGAAGGTGACATTCATTAGTGTAAGAAGGTCTTGAGTACTGGATGGTCGCTCACAGGGTCAGTGTCCAACTCAGGATGGTGATAAGAGATGACCTGAAAAGGAAGATTCTGGGCTTCTGACTGAACCTCCCTAGCATGTTGGGGTGCTAAGGAGAGAAGGAGGTCCACAGAGGCAGGGTCCAAGGCAGAAAAGAGGAAGTGTGTGAGTGCAGGTGGATGGTGCAAAAGCAGGAGCTCAGGGCTGGGAGAACCGTCATCCTCTGGACTTGGAGAGCCAGCAGTGGGGCAGGCCAGCTTGTGCACATGAAGATGTGGGGGTGTGAATAATGCGTGTCAGTGTCCATATGTGTGTGAGGAGGTGTAAGAAAGTAAGTATCAATAGGTGAGTAAGTGAAAGTATTTCAGAATGTGTGTTAATGAGTGTGTGTGTGCATGTGACAGTGTAATGAAAAATGTGTGTGTGTGTGTGTGTGTGTGTGTGTGTGAGTGTGAGGTCAGGTGCAGACTGATCAAGGGGTGGGAGAGGTTACTGTGGGATGATGGGGGCTCAGGAGAGAGTGTTTACAATAGAACTTGGGTTTCAGGGGGGACAAAGGCAGTGGGAATTGGGGGAAGAGAATCTGAGTCTGAGAAGATGAGGGGTGTCCCTTGGGGAGTGGAATGACCTGGACTGGAATGACCTAGTGGAGTTTTGGGAAGAGAGGGATTATTTCAGGTTTGTACTTGTATGAGGGATGCAGTCATTGAATTTAAGAACACAGGGCCCAGCCTCTAGGGAAACAGTCGGAAGGGACAGGGGCTGTGGAAGGGCAGAGATTAAGGCCAGAGGTGATTTGCAGGTCATTCCAGCAGGTGGGCAGGAGGGGAAACCATTCATAGACCTACTTTCTTAGAGTGTGTGTCTAATAAAGGCCAGGTCTTTCCCCCAGATGCCTGTGTGTCTCCCTGTTCCATGTCCAAGATCTCAGCTTTGCACACAGCTGATGTGTGTACTGTGTCATGTGCATGAGTACTGTGTAGGGGCATGTGCATGCCACACACTTTCATAGGGGTGCAAGTGTGTGTGTGCAATGCCCCAATGCTAGTGTCAAAACCTGCTGAATGTCCCACAGTCCCCCACCTGGTTTCTTCCCCAACCAGGCTGTGTCTCCTCAGACTTCTGTGCCCTTGGATGCCTGGCTCATGACACTCTCTCTCTCACAGGGTCACGTCTTCCCCAGCCCCTTCCACAGCGCCTCTGCTCCAGGCTCTATCTCAATCTGCTCTCCCTGGGTTTCAATATCCTGCTGCTGGTGGCTGTTTGTGTAATTGGGTCCCAAAGTGAGAGTCATAGGGCTGGCAGGGATAAGGCAGGGGTGGGGAAAAGTGATGGGCAGTGTCGGGGGCAGTAATGGGGTTATTGAGAGGAGAAGAGGTGGAGGCAGCATGGGGACTGTACAGGGTGCGAATGGGGGCTGATGATGGGGGAACGATGGGACCAATCATGGTGCAGTGACAGGTGAAGAGAGGGGCAGTCATGCAGATAGTGATGGCAGACATAGCCCACACTCCATCTTGTTCCCACTGTCTCCTGACAAGGCACACAGCTGCAAGCAGAGTTGCGGACCCTAAAAGAATCTTTCAGCAATTTCTCCTCCAGCACCCTGATGGAAATCCAGGCTCTGGGCTCCCATGGTGAGTGGGCTGGCTGGTTGGTGATAATTTATCCAGAGAAGTTTGCCAGGCTCTGTGCTGAGTCTGCAATAAGGACATGGTTAGGGGCTGTGCAGACTCAGACTGAGGTAGGTAACCCAGCCCAAGAAGTTGGGCAAGGCTTCCAAGGATGTTGGCCCCTGACCTGAGGGGCCTTGAGGATGAATCAGATCATGTAGGTGAAGAAGAGAGAGGTTAGTGATGGAGAGAAGAATCTGGGACAGCCTGGAGATGAGGAAGAACAATGCACATTTTGGGACTTATGGACAATTTTAGCATGAGGTGAGCTAATTGGTGGGGCGGGGGCTATCAGGCAGAGAATGGTATGGGGCCAGTCTTTGCAGCAAGATGTGCTTGCTGAGTGGGGCTTGGTTGCAAGAACATGGGGATCCAGTGAAAGAACTTATACAGTGCAGTGTCCTGAGTCTCTCTGGTGGTGTGGGGAGCCTGGGTGGCCTGAGGGGTTCAGCTGGTAGACCACATAACATCCTGGACAAGGTGATGGTCCCCAACTGATTCCCAGGCATGTGAGGCTGGAGGCATGGTCAGCAGGCAGAAAAGAGGCGAAACCACTTAGCTTCTCCCTTTTCAGGGGACATTGCAGGTGACAAGGTGACATCCCTGGGAGCCACACTGGAGAAACATCAGCAGGACCTAAAAGCAGGTCAGAGGCCCTCCCTGAGTATGTGGATGGTGTGGTGTGTATGCATTGGGTGTGATGTGTGTGTGGATTGTGGTATGTGTTTGTATGTGTGTGTGTGCTATGTGTGAGCTTTATGTGTATGTGTGGTAGGTTGTGTGTGTGTTAGGTGTATATGTGGTGTGGTATGTCTGGTGTGTATGTTTGTGGTGTGGTGTGCTTCTATGTGTGGTGTGTGTATAGTGTGGTGGGTTGTGTGGTATGTGTGTTTGTTTTTTTGTGTGTGTGTGTGCATGCATCCCCAGCCAACAGCTGGATTCTTGTGCCTGGTGCTGGCAGGTGGGGGACCCACATGTTTACTGCATTGCTGTCTGTCCATCTGTCCCCCTAGATCATGCCACCTTGCTCCTTCACCTGAAGCACTTCCCACTAGATCTGCGTATCCTGACATGTCAGATGGCATTTTTCCAGAGCAATGGTAAGGACAGGGCATGCCCGGCCTCACTGTGTTTGTCCCTTCCAGCTAGATCTCATCTCCCTCTGCCCCTGTCCTCTCAGGCACAGAATGCTGTCCTGTTAACTGGGTGGAACATGAAGGCAGCTGCTACTGGTTCTCTCGTGCTGGGAAGACCTGGTCTGAGGCCGACAAGTACTGCCAGCTAGAGAATGCCCACCTGGTGGTCATCAACTCCAGAGAGGAGCAGGTGAGGCCAAGCTTCCCAAAGGCAGGAGGAAACCTTGAACTCAGGCTCAGTCAGGAGGTTCCCATCATCAGGTTTCTTTTTGTCTTTTTAACCTAAGGAAGAGTCCAGAAGCAGAAGTGTGGTAGAGCCCTGGGGGGTTCATAGTCGAGCAGCCATTGATGCTAAGAGGTGGGAGATTGCAGGCAGAAACAAGTAAGGGCATTTAAACCTGAGAGGCAAGTGAAACCAAGATCCTTAATGGGTTTGGGGGTCTTGGTGGAGAGCAGGAATAGGAATTCCATGAGTCTGAGGCTGAGGGAAGAAGACAGGGAGCAAACCAGAGTCAGAATAGCAGATATAATGGGAATGGAGTGGGACCCAGAGGACAGTGGTCACAAACTAGATCCTGGATTGGCTCTCTGGGCTCTAACAACTTACCTTGCAATATGTGAGTTATCTGGCACCCAACGTAGAGAGCTTCTGAGGATTAAATGAAATAGTCCCTGGAAAGCACTTAGCACAAAGTTTAGCCCAGTGAGTGTTCACTGACGATAGCTCCGATGACAGAGGGGAAACCAAGGGAACGGTTGTGTTGGGAACTGATGCTTCAGTGGAGGCAGATCGGCTGGAGAAGGCTGAGGGAGGCACATGGATGCCTGCATGGATGAAGGAAAAAGGTCCAAGGAACAAGGAACTAGCAGCCTCACCCCCCTGTTTTTCCAGAAATTCATTTTACAACACACAGGCGCCTTTCATATCTGGATAGGACTCACTGACAGCGATGGCTCCTGGAAATGGGTGGATGGAACGGACTACAGGCATAGCTATAGGTAAGAGGGCTCTATCTATCCTCTTGTTAGTTTGCCTTGGGGACAGCCACAGGGCTTTTGGCCCTAACAGACTCCCTGAGGTCCTTTTGGGGACCAAATTCCTCAACCCTCTCCTTTCCCACTCCCTGCCTCTAAGGCTGCACCTTCTTGCCCTGAACCTGCCCCAAGGCTGTGTTTTTCTGGAGTTGGGGGTGGGGGCAGGGTTGCTAGGATGTGGCCTGGTCAGATCTTGGGCTTTGTCTTGTCTTCTTAGGAACTGGGCTATCACTCAGCCAGACAACTGGCAGGGCCATGAGCCGGGCAGAAGTGAAGACTGTGTTGAGCTCTTGACAGATGGACGCTGGAACGACAACTTCTGCTTAGAGGTGAACCGCTGGGCGTGCGAGATGAAGCGGAATAGCACTGACTAAGCCCGGCCCCAGCACATCTCTAACGCGCACCCCATCCCCGCACCGACCCTGGCTTCTCTACTGGGAATTCTACAGAAAGGAGGAAAAAGCGAGTCTGGGTTATGGGGAGAGGTTGAAGAAAAGTAGAAAAGGGGGTGGTTTGTTTCAGATCCTGGGAAGGCTGAGGGCCTGCCTCTTTCCACAGTTCTTTGTTGTAGTTATTACAATTTTCAGTGGCTTCAATGGAGTAGAAATAAATACTTGAAACTCTTTGCGGCCTGGTTATTTGGGATTGGGGCATGCAGAGTGCAAGGAACAGGAGAGAGGAGATTCTGGAGGAGTAGGGTGTAAGTTCTAGGCTCTGCTCCTTGACACCAATCCCCAGGGACCCTGGTTGGGGAGGGGACAGAAGAGATGTGGAGAAACAAGGCTCAGTGGTTGGCACTCAGATGGGTTGGAGGGGACCCCCCAGCTTCCTAGAGTTCCTGAAGGAGAAACTTTGTCTGCATTTAGGATCTCCCCAAATTGGGTTTTGCAGAGAACACCCCTGCTCCAACTTCAGCTTCCAGGGGAAATGTTTGCCAGGGGGAGAAGGCTCAGTAAGACTCCTGCCCACCCCTTTCAGCATGGCTGCTTCTTTGGGGCCTCAAACAGATTTAGACATATATCCAACACAAGGTGTCTCCAACCATTTCCACGGTTGATACATGTCCCTTTCCAAGATCATTTGGAACCTGACCTTAAACACATCTTTAAGGATTGCATTTTACTTGTATTCATGGTGCTTATGGATGGAACCCAGGACCTTGAGCATACAAGGCAAGTACTGTACCCCTGTGCTACATCCCCAGCAGTACCACCCCCATTTTAAAATGACAAAGTAATATATACTGTTACACACACACACACACACACAGTGTCCTCTCTCCCTTCTGCTTCTCCCCAGAGTTAACTATTTCTGAGTGCTCTGTCAGAACAATTTCTGTGTACACCCATGTATGCTACACCAAATAATAACATAGCTTAATTTTTCACTCTGCAATGTCTTGTGAACATTGTTCATTACCTTTAAGGTTTTATCTCATCAAATTTAGCAGCTGAAGAGAATGCCAAGGTATGGATATGCCATATATTATTTAACTATTCTCTGTGTAAGTAGTTGCCGTATTTGTTTATTTTCACGTATAATGTTTGTGATTGCATCCACCCTCACTTCTATCCTCTCTTGCCACCCCTCCCCCTTGTCCTCCTTTCCCTTCCCTAAAAATTCCCTTTCTATTTTCACATCTCTCTCTATTTTAGATTCCACATACGAGCAAAAACATGCTGTACTCGTCTTTCTGAATTTGGCTTATTTCATTTAACGTGATGATCTCAGTTCCATCCATCTTCTTGCAAATGACATGATTTTTGCTTTTATGGCTGAATAGTACTCCACGGTGTGTGTGGTGTGTGTATTCCACATTTTCTTTATCCATCGATCTATTGATGGGTATCTAGGCTGATTCTATAACGTAGCTATTGTGAATAGTGCTTTGATAAACGTGAGTGTGCAAGTATCTCTTTTGTAGGTTGAGTTTCATTTCTTTGGTTTATACCCTTGGTTTATACCCAAGAATGGTACAGTTGGATCATATGTTAATTCTATCTTTAGTTTTGTGGGGAACCTCCATACTGTTTTCTGTAACAGCTGTTTTAATATACATTCCCCACCAACAGTGGATTAAGGTTCCTTGTCTCCCACACCCTCACCAGCATGTAATATACTTTCTCTTTTCTTGATAGTAGCTGTTCTGACTAGGGAAGATGAAAGCTCACTGTAGTTTTGATTTGCATTTCTCTGATGGCTAAAGATATTGAACATTTTTCCATACATTCATTGGTCATTTGTACTTCTTTTGAGAAGATTCTGTTCAGCTCATTTGCCCATTTATTGGTTGGATTACTTGTTCTTTGTTTAAAACCCATTTTAAACAGTAAACTTCAGATAATTTAGTAAAATTTTAGATAATTGGAGACTCATATGCAGGTATAAGAAATAATACAGAGAGATCCTATGTGACCTTTACCTAATTTCCTCCAATGGCCTTGAAATATATATTGTACATCTTAAAAGTATATTGCACAATACCACAACCATTGATATAAGATACAGATCATTTCCATCACCATAGGATCCTTTTTTTTTTTAAAGAGAGAGAGAGAATTTTTTTTCTAATATTTATTTTTTAGTTTTCGGCGGACACAACATCTTTGTTTGTATGGGGTACTGAGGATCGAACCCGGGCCGCACGCATGCCAGGTGAGCGCGCTACCACTTGAGCCACATCTCCAGCCCAGGATCCTTTATCTTGACTTTTATATCCACACCTATAGCCGCCCCCTGCTCCATACCCTATCTAGTTCCTAAACCCTGGTGGCCACAAACCTGTTCTCTCTTTCTATAATTTTGTAATTTCAAGAATTATATATATATATGGAGTCATATAGTATGTAACCCTTTTGAATTGGCTTATTTTCATTCAATGTTAATTCCCTGGAGATTTACCTAAGTTGGTGCACGTGTCTGTAGTTCATTCCTTTTTATCACTGAAAGTATTCCAAGGCATGGAGTACTTGTGTCTTTTAATGTTTGCCTATTGAAGGACCTCTGAGGGGGTTTCTAGTTTTTGGCTATTGCAAATAAATCAGTTATGAAAACTTATGTACAAGGTTTTGTGTGAACATAAAACTTCATTTATCTGGGATAAATGCTCAAGAGTTCAATTGCTAGGTCATATAGTCATTGCATGTTTAGTTGTAGAAGAAATTGCCAAACTGTTTTCCAGAGTTGTGGTACCATTTTATACTCACCAAGAGTGTATTAATGATCCAGTTTGTCTATTTCTCCCCTGCCTTTGGTTGTTGTCAATATTGTTTAAAATCTTATTTGTTTTGATAGGCATGTAGTGATGTATGATTGTGGTTTTCATATGAGCTTCCCTGATGGCTAATGATTTCCTCCTCCTCCTCCTCCTTTTGTATTTGGGATTGAATCTAGGGTCTCCCACATGGTAGGCAAATGCTCTACCAGTGAGGTACATCTTCAGCTCATTTAATTTTTTTTTTTTTTTTAATTTTGGGACAGGGTCTCACTAAGTGGCCCATGCTGTTCTCGAACTTGTAATCCTCCTGCCTCAGTCTCTGGTGTAGCTGAGATTACAGGCACGAGCTGCTATATCTCTTTTTTTGTGCATCTTTCCTGTGATTATTGTCCATCTCTGTATCCTCTTCAGTAGAATGTCTCTTCATGCCTTTTGCCCATTTTCTATTTTTAATAACTTTATTTATTTTTATATGGTGCTGAGGATTGAACTCTGGGCCTTGCACGTGCAAGACGAGTGCTCTACGGCTGAGCCATAACCCCAGCCCCTCTAATTTTTTTTTAACTGTTGAGTTTTCAGAATTCTTTGTATATACTAGATACTGTTTCTTTGTTGGATTTGTGTTCTGCAAATATTTTCTCCAAGTCCATAACTCATCTTTTCATCCTCTAAACAGAAACACATTTCCAAAACAGATTAGGCTGATTAAAATCTTGGCAGGACCAATTGGGAACTGAGAAAAATGATGGATGAAATAGAAGGTTAAATGATACTATTCCTGTTTTTATAAAAATTTGGCTGAATTCCCCAAACTGAGAAAGACTGTTGGTAGTGGCCATGTGTTTAAAAATCAAGAGTTACTGTTTTACAAATAAAAGTTATTTTAAAAATCTTAAAACGTGAAACAGAATAGAACAAAAAATAGAGTTGCTGGGTTCTGGATTCATCTAGACAGGCCTAACAGGGGGCAAAACAATCACCAATGGAGAGATTTTAAACTCTCTAAACTAATTTTATTGGTACATACATTATAATTATATATAACATCGGGATTCATTGTGATATATTCATATAAGCGCATAACAATTTGGTCAATTTCATTCCCCAGAACCTCTCCTTCCCTCTTCTCCCATCTTCCTTGATCCCCATTCTCGAATTTTCTCCTCTGTTGGTCTCTGATGGAGATGACTTTAAGAGAGTTCTTAGATGCAATGAGGGATTCAACTTGTTTTCTCTCCAAATGAGAAAGGGGATACTTCTTCATATCCTCACGAGCCAGGTGACAGAGTCCCAAGGGAACCATTTGCAGAGACTAGTTGTATTCGAGAGGCTGAGACAGGCATCTCCCTACCAGGCAAGATGGTAAAGCTGAGTTGTTGCTGGGATCCCCGTGGACTGGCAGGTGAGAGGATCAGGAAGGGTTTTAGGGAAGTCTGTGGCTCTGTGTTCAGGAGGATTGTAGTAATCATGAAGAAAGAGACTTATCTCTTCCTCTTCCTCCTCCTCTCCTCCTTCTTCCTCTTCTTTCCCTTCCCCTTCCTTTTCTTGTTCTTTTTCCTCCTCCTCCTCCTCCTCCTCAGTCACTTCCTCCTCCTCCTCAGTCACTTCCTCCTCTTCCTCAGTCACTTCCTCCTCCTCCTCCTCTTCCTCCCACTCCCTGTCCACTTCCTCTTCCCCTTCCTCTTCCTCTTTCTCTCCTTCTCCTTCTCCTTTTGTACAAGGGCTTGAACCTAGGGACTGGCACTGCGCCAGTCTCACCTCTGCTTTTTGAGAGGAGAATTGGATGGCTAACACCTGTCCCATTTATTAGTTGATCAAACTATGCTTAGTGGCCTGGCAGGCAGGAGTGTCAGGGAACTTGTGAGACGGATGTCAGGCTTGAGCCATTTAGGAAGGACCCTCCCCAAGGGACTGCAAGGCAGAGAGAGGCTGAAAGAGGCTGTGGGTGCACAGCTGCAGTCGGAGCACAAACTGATGTGAACCAGAGTGCGCCATCTTTGGGAAGGAGGCACTGCCATGGAGCAGAGGGATTCCAAAGGCTTCTCTGAGGCACCACTACTAGGCCTCATGAAAGGCCAGTGTCGGATGCTTGCTGTGAAGAGCACCTTGACGGCCATAGTAGCACCAGCCTGTGCCCTTGAATTCTTCTCTACCTTGCAATAGAGGAAGGCAGAGCAGAAGTCTATGATGCCTGTCCCAGAACAGACCTCGAGATGAGGATCCTTGTGAAAATGATTCATTAGGAAATGTTTGCAGGCAATTTCAAAGTCCAGTGGTGATAGAATAATTTTTTTTAAGGCCAGTTCCTCAGGGGAGCAATGAAGATAACATAGGGCACATTTCAGAGTCGTTCCCATCAGGAACAAGGGAGCTGTCACCCCTCCAGTCATGGGTTAATGGCAGTTG